CCATCCATCCATCCATCCATCCATCCATCCATCCATCCATCCATCCTCCCTCTTTATGCTTCATCTTTTCGGGTCACTGGTGTCCATATCCAGCAGTCACTGTGCGAGAGGCGGGGTACATCCTGGACAGGTCTCCAGTCCATCACAGGGACACATGAGACAAACGAGACAAACAACCATTCACTCTCTCTCTCACATCTAGGGACAATTTAGAGTTACCATCAGTCTAACATGCATGTTTTTAGTCTGTGGGAGGAAACTGGAGCACCTGGAGAAAACCCAAGCGGCACAGAGAGAACATACAAACTCCACCCAGAAATGTCCTGGGCTGGGATTTGAACCGGCGACCTTCTCGCTGCGAGGCAGCAGCTCTACCAGTTGTGCCACAGTTTAGCTACGGTAATTTTACATTTTAGCTTCAGTTTTAATAATTTCATCCTTTCGGTCGTGCTTTGCCATTTTTAGGTTGTTTCGACTGTTCGGCTCATTTAAATTTTTCACTTTGCGCTCGTTTTAGCTCGAGTTCTGATCGTTTCAGGTTTTGTTCTGCACATTTTAACTTCAACAGTCATTCAAAAGTCTCAGTGCATTGTCCTACAAAAAGTACAACTTCTCAGGTTCTCGTTCCGTTTTCTTTGTTTTGAACCTAAGATCATCCAAACAACGCGTTTGCTTTCGGCGTTTTCTTGACTAGATCGCAGGAAAATATCTGACCTCGCTGCAGAAGGACCTGGGCATGAGGCAGGGGGGGTCACAGGAGCTGTTGTCCTCCGGAGGATTCATGGCCGGACATCCACCTGCACGCGATAGTTAAAGAAAATGAGATGAACACAAACTCTGTCTCTGTTGAAGATAATGAGTCTAACTTTAAATGTTGCTTTAGAAGTTCTGCAGTTCTGTTTTTTTAAACTTAAGTGAGAAACCACTTGTTCATGTTTTATTCATAAGATATTAGCCGTGTGAGCTGCCATCACCACCTCCACCTCTATTAGAAACAAAGCTCACCAGTTTTTGTTATTTTCTTGACATTTTGTGTTAATTTCACCTCCTACATGAAACTGCCACCAGTGGTTTAGACTTGAGCTGCTGCAGGTTTTTTTAACTTTAAAGATAAACTCAGCTGCTCTGTCTATTATTCAAAACACCGCGTGGCAATGCTTTCTAATCTCCTCTGAGTTGAAGCCCCATTAAGCTCCTCTGCCTCCGCCTGTTATGGCTCCAGTTGTCTTTATTTCACACAGACGTACTGTGTGTGTGCACAGATAAAATATCCATGTTTTATATTTTGAGGCTGTGCTACCAAATCGCTAATGTGTGAACAATAAGAGCAGATATGCAGACTCAACCGTTAGTTTGTGTTTGTTTTGCATCAGGAACCTTTTAGCAAGTGCTACATATAAAAGAAAAAAAAATCATCTGATTAACATGAGTAAAAAACAAGTATTTATTTCTTGTGTTTTGCAATTTATTTTATTATTAATTTCTACAGGGAAGATCACAGAGTCGCCTGATTCAAAACCTCCCTGGTGATGAAATGCACCGTTTGTTTAACATCGCTCGCTTCTTTACGAAGTTAAAAATGGTTCAATCCTACGCTGTGGATGGATGCACACACAGGTGGGACAAGGGGAGTAGGATTTCCTGGCACTGTAAACCGAGTTAAAATGACACAGATAAACAAAGAATATTAATTAAGTGGCTTTCAAATGGCTGTAATCTGAAGAATTGTCGACTGTTTACGTTCAACCCACTGACATCCTGTAAAGTGCAAAATGAGTGTTTACAAACTGGATCTTCCCTTTTCATTTTACTGTACTTGCATCTAATTTTAAGGCGACATTAAGTATTTTTTATAAGATTAACTGATTACACCTGAAATGTGTTTGGTTCAAACAGAATTATACCAACACCTCACTCCTACTCTTATTTTCCTTGTTTTTAGAATCAGAAGCACGGTGGTGGAAGTGTTATGGTTGGGCAGTAATAAGAAACAACTTAATCTCGTTGAGGAGGGGCTTGAAGCAGGCAGAACAGTCTCCAAACTGTTCTGAAACATTGAAAGATGTTCTCGAGTTCCTCACTCGTCTCTTTGCTTGAATTTTAAAAATGTTCAAAAACATGCAACTTAATTTCCAGACCATTGAGTGCACCTGAATATAAACCGTGCACACTAAATTAAAGAAAAATAAAGATTTTGTAAATATATAGGCTGCGCTTGTCTAAGTTGTGGGTGTCCACATTGTAACACGAGATATTTACACAGAAGCTTTATTAAACTTTTGATTAAATACTTTAGCGTGGCAGCACAGCTACTGAGAGATGTGCAGCTCTGGTTGTAGATCAAGAATCAACCACCACATGATGTTTTATAAGATTTATCTTCCTGTTCAACAAACAGACGGAGAGAACACTTCATGGTCTTCATGACAACTACCTCCCTCACTCACTCTACTGAATCTCCCAACACGCGACGAACACAAACTAACACAAACTGACACATGATGAACACA